AGATTTATTGAGTCCTGTTTGCAATTTAGTTCCCGCCTGCAGTTGCCTTGGCAGGGCTGGAGGGAATGATTTCATAGGCCTTACGTGGCTGGATGTTCCCCACCCCTGCTGCTGTGTATACAGTACAAGTGGGCTTCAAAAAGTTCATGGAAAATTTGCAGTATCTTAATTTCATTTGTCCATAAACTTAAAAAAATATATAATATATATATATTCATTTTAGAGGATAAGACATACAGAAAGAGCTCCTATCCACTAGTTCACTCCCTTGGTTCCCACAACAGCCAGGTGGATCAAAGCCAAGAGCTGAAAACTCAGTACAGGTCTCCTATATGGGTGGCAAGGACCCAGTGACTTGAGCCATTATCTGCCTCTCAAGGTGCACATTGGTAAGAAGCTGGATCAGAAGCAGAGGAGCTGAGACATGAATCAGGCACTTCAATATGGGATGTGGGCACTGGGTGACCCAAGCAGCATGCTGACCACTGAGCTAAACTCTGGCTATGGAGAATGATTAATAAGTAGAGGGGTTGATATTGGGGTGCAGCATATTAAGCGACTGCTTGCAAAGCCAGTATCTCACATTGGAGTGCTGGCTTGACTCTTGGCTTCACTTCTGATCCAGTCCTGGGAAAGAAGTGGATTAGGCCCAAGTTCTTGGGTCCCTGCCACCCACATGGGAGTCCCAGGTTTGGCTTGTCACAGGCCTGGCTGCTGCAATCAAGTAAACCCTCAGATGGAAGATATTCTCTCCCTCCCTCCCTCCCTCCCTCCCTCCCTCCCTCCCTCTCTCTCCCTCTCTCTCCCTCTCTCTCCTCTCTCCCTCTCTCTCCTCTCTCCCTCTCTCTCCCTCTCCCTCCCTCTCCCTCCCTCTCTCTCCCTCTCTCTCCCTCTCTCTCCCTCTCTCTCCCTCTCTCTCCCTCTCCCTCCCTCTCCCTCCCTCTCCCTTCCTCCTTCTCTCTCCTTCTCTTCTCTTCCTCCTTCCCCCTCCCTCCCTCCCTCTCTCCCTTCCTTTCTTCCTCTTTCCCTCTCCCTCTCTCCCTCTCTCCTTCCCTCCTTCCCTTCCTCTATCCACCTTGTTCATTGTCATGCTGCCTTTCAAATAAATATTTTAAAAAATCAAGCTGGGGCAGACCTTACGTTATGTGATAGTGTCAAAAACATCAGTCCTGACAGCAAGACTTAAGAAAATTATATCAGTAGAAAGGTACTTCAAAAAGTTGGAATTAAACAATTAGGTTATTTTGATGCAAAATTTTAAAAATTCATTCTGCATTGGTGGATATTCCTATTGCTTCATTTCTTTAGGATCCTTTTTTTTTTTTTTTTAAGATTTTATCTATTTATATGAAAGAGTTACATGAAAGAGTTATATGAAAGAGAGGCAGAGAGAGAGAGATGTCTTCCATCCACTGGTTCACTCCCCAGTTGGCCGCAACAGCCAGAGCTGTGCCGATCTGCAGCCAGGAGCCAGGAGCTTCTTCCGGATCTCCCATGTGGGTGTAGGAGCCCAAGGACTTGGGCCATCTTCTGCTTTCCTAAGCCATAGCAGAGAGCTGGATCGGAAGTGGAGCAGCTGGGACTTGAACAGGGGCCAATATGGGATGCTGGCACTGCAAGTGGAGGCTCTACCTGGTACACCACGGCACCAGCCCCCCAGGATCCTTCTTAAAAATGCTCCAGGCAGCCTCTACCTAACAGTTGGAGTTAGCCTGTGAGGTAAACCTATGTGTTGTGTCTGACCTAGTCCACCTCCTTATCTTTCATATGTTAGAGAAGAGAAACAGGCTGACTCTAAGAGCAAATAAATTAGTGGCTAGGATAGGACTAGAACTGAGTTTTTCTTGATTTTCAACATTTCCCATTTCACCTCTTAGACATCTACCCTGTTTTTCTCCTCTGGCATAAAAGAACAAATCTAATTTTCCTTCTGTGTGCTACCTCAGGTATTCAAAGCCAGTTTTGCCATTCCCTTTGAATCTTTTCTTCCCCGGGGTAAAGTTTTTTTGAGTACCTTTAAGTTCTTCTGTTAGGACAAGATGTACACATCCCTTTACCGTCCTTCTCCAAGGCTGTAGAAATCCTAAGTGTGATTTCAACACTCACCTTCTTCTCTACCTGTTCATTAATTCAATTCAACAGATACATGTTGATGTATGTCCCGGGCACTGTTTGAGACACTGTGTAGTTTGTATTTTGGAGGGTGAAAAGAAACATTATAAAAAATGATATCTAAGGGTGCCAAGTTACATAAAGAAAGTGAAATAGCATTAATTGAGTGACCATGGGAGAGATGTCCTTAGATTTGATGGTCAAAGAAGCTGTCTTTGAGGAACTGACATTGACCAAGACCTGAGTGACAAATAGGGGCCAGCCTCTGGAGGACGAGGACTCCATTGAGCAAGAGAAAAATTAGTACAAGATGAGGTTGGAAAGGCCTCAGGAATCCTGCAGGGCCCTATAGACTGGATAAGATTGGGTTTAGTTTAGATTTTATTTCAGTGCAATTGGAAGTCATTGGAGATTTTAAGCCAGGGAGGTGGCACCTGATTTCCCCTTTAAAAAGATTGCTGGGAGTCCTGTTTAACTTGGAGCAAGATTCCCTTTTTCTACTTCTAAAATCCATGAGGATTGGCAGCCAAACCAGTTTGCTGTGTCCAGGGGCCCCCCGAGGGGATCCACGAGGTGAGTCACAGCTATTGCTAGATGCAGCATGAAAGTTCAGGGAGCTGGGAGTAGCTGCCTAGGACCTGAGTCTGGTAGGGGCAGTGGGTCTTTGTGCAGAGTTCTCAGTCCAGGAAACTTCAGTCCTTTGGCAGCCAGACAGTGATGGAGCCAAGGGTACTGGTTGCAGGAAAGGCAGACAGGAAATGAGTGGAAACCAAGAGTCTGAGATACTTAGAAAAGGGCTTCAGAGTAGAATCAAGAAACCAGTCAGCTGAAGAACTGCCCTGCTGTTTGCCCAGTGGAAACAACCCCAACATAGTTCCTGCCTGAGAGCAGAATCTGGACACCTTTTTGGTTGGTCATTTTATTTAGATTTGATCTGGTCTCTTCCCTTCAGGTTGACATCCAGTTGGCTCCCAAGAGTCTGGATGACAGGCTGGTATCTCTGGAAGCTAAAAAACCATCCTGACCCAGAAGTTTCAGGTCTGGAGCAGCCTTCAGGGGAATGAAGATAAGGCCTAGGAGAGAATCATCTATGAGTAGAGATGGTTGGGATCTTAGAGATTAGAGCTGTATGTTTTCCAGAATGAGAGAGCTGGGTTGGAGAGGGTGGCATTCCCTCAACCTGTTGGTGATCTTTTCTGTTTTTCTTTTAATTTTTTTTTTTGTTTGTTTGTTTGAAAGGCAGATACACAGAAAGAGATCTTCCTGGGCCGGCACTGTGGCGTAACAGGTAAAGCCACCGCCTGCACAGCTGGCATCCCATATGGGATGTTAAAGTTAAAGTCCTGGCTGCTCCACTTTGGATCCAGCTGTCTGCTAATGTGCCTGGGAAAGCAGCAGAAGATGGCCTAAGTACTTGGGCCTCTGTACCCATGTGGGAGACAAAGATGAAGCTCTTGGCTCCTGGATTCAGCCTGGCCCAGCCCTGGCTGTTGCTGCCATTTGTCGAGTGAACTAGCAGATGGACGATCACTCTCTCTCTCCCTACCTCCATCTCTGTAACTCTGCCTTTCAAATAAATAAATAAATTGTTTTTAAAAATCTAAAAGTAGATAAAAGTTTAAGACTTTCTTACAAAATAGAACAGAGAAAACAGAAAGAGACCTCCATTCTCCAATTCTCCAGATGCCCATGACAGCCGAGGCAGGGCCAGCCAAAGCCAGGAGCCTAGAACTCAATGAGGGTCTCCCACATGAGGGGCAAGGGACCCACGTACTTGAGCCACCATTTGCTGCCTCCCAGGGTGCACCTTAGTAGGAAGCTGGTTTGGAAGCTGAGGAGCCAGAACAGACCCAGGCCGATGTGGGGTGCAGGTGTTCAGGCAGCAACTCAGTGCTGTACCAGATGTCCATCACTTGTTCCTGATTTGTGAAAAGACCTCTGTCCATGCCCATATCTAAGGGCTCACAGGCATCTAGCTAGTTACTGACCAGATCTCCATGGGGTCACCACTTTACCCATCTACTGCCAACCTAGTATTGTGGGTCTTAATTTAAAGAGCCCTTAGGGTTCTTTCAGCAGGTGAAAGGTCATCTGTTCAGCTCCCAGAGGAGGTGGCCAGAGCCCAGCAAGGTCAGGGGTTGTGCCCACGGTCATATGTCTGTTAGTCATGTCACCTTGGGCCCGATCTCCATTACTTTGAGTCTTTTCCAAATGCTCAGCCTTTTTTAGTTCCCATTTCTGAAAAATCTTTCCAACTTACTTTAGACTTTTTGAAAAAGATTTATTTATTTATTTGCAGACAGACGCGGAGGGAGAAGCAGAGATTTTCCATCTGCTGGTTCACTTCCCAAATCCCTGCAGCAGCCAGGGCTGGGCCAGGCCGAAGCCAGGAGCCAGGAAGTTTATCTGGGTCTCCCACCTGGGTGACAGGGGCCCAAGTACTTGAGCCAAAATCCACTGCCTTCTCAGGCACATTAGCAGGGAGCTGGATCCGAAGTGGAGCATTTGGAACTCAAACCAGAACTCTGATATGGGATGTTGGCGTCACAAGTGCAAGTTTACCCTGGTGCGCCCCAATGCCAACTCCCTACTTTCTGCTTGCATTCCATTTCCTTTGGCCCTGTCACAGCCAGGTGTGAGGAGCAGCATCTCCCTTGTAGTCTCTGGGGTGGGTCTCTGAGTCCCAGTCAAGTCTTTTCTCTGCATCTGCAAAGTGCAGAAAAAGTGGATCTAGTTCTAGCACTGTCTTCATCTTTCTCCCAGGAGTTCAGCAGACTGAATACCCTGAAAGAGGAAGTCCTGAGGACTCCATGCCACCCTTGGCCTACACTCACCAGGGTAGCTTCAGCCCCTTCCTTTTCTCTAACCCCTTTGTTTTCCTTTTCCAGGAGTCTGGAGAGGTGTGGCTGGATCAAGACCTTCCCCAATGTGAACAGGCTCCCTCCTCCCCTCACCACCCTTTGCCACCACGCCAGGGAACATCCTCAAACCCTGGCCCTCAAGGGAGAGGTAACAGGAGCCCAGAGCCGAGACCATGTGACGGCGCTGGCCCTTGCCACCGCCGTCCCCCCAACCCTGGCCCCAGGCCTGGCACCATGATGTTCCGAGACCAGGTGGGCATCCTCGCTGGCTGGTTCAAGGGCTGGAATGAGTGTGAGCAGACCGTAGCCCTGCTGTCTCTTCTGAAGCGGGTCACCCGTACCCAGGCCCGCTTCCTGCAGCTCTGCCTGGAGCACTCACTGGCTGACTGCAATGACATCCACCTGCTGGAGTCGGAGGCCAACAGTGCTGGTGAGTCTCCACCCCAAGAGATGGGAATACAGCAAGAGGGAGACCTGGAACATGTCGATGGCTGAGGAGGCCAACCCAACAGTGGTGCTAAGAAATGTGATTTCTAGGCTTGGTGGTAGAGGAGAGCAGGGACTTTAGAGTGCTTCCAAAATTCACGAGTCATCCTAAACTAGGCTTTACCCCTACAGCTAGGTTGGACTTAAGGCATAAACAGGAGAGTTTTGACTTTAGCTAGAGTTCTTCATATCACTTCCATAAGCACAGGGAGGCACTCTGTGTCTTGTGAGGTTAGTGTAGGGAGGGGTGAGCCAGGCTTCCCTAGAACTTGTCTCTCGGGCCCCAGTCCTAGATAGGAGTCAGGCCAGAGAACCATCTCAGAGGCTATTGCTGAAGCCATTTGGGCTTCCAGGAGACTGGGTGGATAGCTGTTGATCCCAGTGATGGGTGGGAAAGATGGAAACCAGAGAACAAGGAGAAGAGTAGCAGATATCCAAAAGCTGGCTGGGAAGGAGACTGGGGCTCCGTGCAGTTTGTCTGTATTCACCACCCTAACTCTTCCCACTTCTCGTATTCATTGTTCACATTGAATCTTAACAACAAGCCGAGCAGTTCTTACTTACATATGAACTTTGAAAACTTGTTCTTTGGTGGGTTTGGAGTCACGCTCTCTAGATTTAAATCCCAGTTAATTACCTAACCGCATAACCAAGTAATTTAACCTCTGTGTGCCTTAGTTTCCTCATTGTAAAATCAAGATGATCATTATATCTACCTTCGGGGTGGAGGTGAGGATTCAGTGAGTTCACACATGGGTAGCTGTTAGAGCAGTGCCTGGTATGCAGTAAATATAGCTGTCATTTGTTTGTATTGTCACTCATTCATCCTCATGACAGTCTCCATGTGGGGCTACTACTATACCTATTTTACAGACGAGGAAACCAGAGTGGGCTGCTGGGATGGGGATCTGGGAAGCCGCAGGGCCCCAGGCCTGGCAACAGTCAAATTTATTTTTACAAAGTTGTTGGGGTTTGTCCCCCCCACCTTTTTTTATTTTTTCTTCTTTTCTACTTTATTTGAAAAAGAAAGAGACAGAAATCTTCTGTCTATTGCTTCATTTCCCAGAAGGCTACAACAATCAGTCTGGGCCAGGTCGAAGCAAGGAGCCCAGAACTCATTCCAGGTTTCCCATATGGGGGTCAGGGACCCAAGCTTGAACCTCCTGCTGTCTCCCAGGGTGTGCATTAGCAGAATGCTGAACTAGAAAGCCAGAATTCAAACTGTTGGTTGCCCCAAATGGCTTCCTTGTGGGGAGCAACCCGGACTGGACTGAGTTACTGGAATTAAGACTTATTCTATGCATCTGCTTTCCCACAATATGGCACTGAGAAGGGAAACAGCTTCTACACAGCTGCCTCCAGTTCAACCAATAAACTGTAGGACCTGCTCCTGATTGGAGGAGAGCAGCGTACTCGGCGTGTGGGTAGCAGAGTTGGGATTGGTGGAAGAGGACTATAAAGGAGGAGAGAGACAACATGCACCAGGAACATCTAAGGGGGAACATCTGAGGGAACACCTGTGCAGCCCCCGAGAGAGCCGGCCGGCGGTGTGCCGCTCCCCTGCGGAAGTGGGGAAAGTGGCCAGGGGGAACCGCCCTTCCACGGAGGTGGAAGGGATAGTAGCCAACCCGGGAAGAACCAGCAGCAAACCCGGGGAGGGCCGAGCAGACAAAAGAACAGCGCAGGGTCCTGTGTCGTTCCTCCACGAAGAGGGGGAGCGACATAATGGTGCCGTGACTCAGATATGAAGCCTAGGCAGGGTTTAGTGTCGTTCCTCCACGAAGAGGGGGAGCGACACTTCCTAACTTTTAAAGATTTATTTATTTATTTGAAAGTCAGAGTTACACAGAAAAAGAAGGAGAGGCAAAGAGAGAGAGAGTGTTTTTTTTTTTTTTTTTTTTGACAGGCAGAGTGGACAGTGAGAGAGAGACAGAGAGAACCTTTTTCTGTTGGTTCACCCCTCAGTGGCTGCTCCAGTGATGCACTGCGGCCGGCGCACCGCGCTGATCTGAAGCCAGGAACCAGGTGCTTCTCCTGGTCTCCCATGTGTGTGCAGAGCCCAAGGACTTGGGCCATCCTCCACTGCACTCTGGGGCCACAGCAGAGAGCTGGCCTGGAAGAGGAGCAACCAGGACAGAATCCAGCGCCCCGACCGGGACTAGAACCCGGTGTGCCGGCGCCGCAGGCGGAGGATTAGCCTAGTGAGCCGCAGCACCGGCCAGAGAGTTTTATCCGCTGGTTCACTCCCCAATTGGCAGCAACGGCCAGAGCTGCGCCGTTCAGAAACCAGGAGCCAGGAGCTTCTTCCAGGTCTCCCATGTGGGTGCAGGGGCCCAAGGACCTTGGGCCATCCTCCACTGCTTTCCCAGGCCATAGCAGAGAGCTGGATTGGAAGTGGGGCAGCCGGGACTCGAACCGGTGCCCATATGGGATGCTGGCACAGCAGGTAGCAGCTTGACCTGCTATGCCACAGCACTAGCCCCTTTGTTTTTATTTTTTTAAGATTTATTTATTTATTTGAAAGGCAGATTTACAGAGAAAGGAAAGAAAGATTTTCCACCCATTGGTTCACTTCTGAAATGGCCACAGCAGCTGGGGCGGGACAGGCCAAAGCCAGGAGCCAGGAGCTTCTTCTGGGTCTCCCACGTGGGTGCAGGGGCCCAAGTACTTGGACTATTTTACACTGCTTTCCCAGGCGCATTAGGAGGGAGCTGGATTAGAAGTGCAGCAGTTGGGACTTGAACCTGTGCTGGTATAGGATGCCAGCATCCCAGGTGGAGGCTTAACCTGCTATGCCACAACCCCAACCCCCTTACTGAGTTTTTATGTACAATCACAAAAACACCATGGTAGCAGTCACATGGGCCTAATTCTCAGTCTGACAGACTAAAAGCATTAAGGACAAGCTCAGCTGCATCAGGCTCAGGGCTCACCCTGGCCATCTTCCTACCAGGAAAGGCTCCACTCTTCTCTAGTCCTGAGAACAGGGAGTCCTGTGTGGTGTGCCTATGCCCTAAGAAGGTACAGTTAGGACAAGTCAGTGTGTTACGCAGGTTTGTGGTACCCCACCACCACCCCAATCCAGGCAGGTGGTTGAATAGCCACTGGGTGTCAAACTTGGCTCTGCACCAGAAATCACCAGCAGTGCTTGTTACTATTAGCATTTTTAGGTTTTGCTTTTGTTTTCAGGACTTGTAGTAAAATCAGATCATACAGAAAGTGACAAGGGAAGCTTTTTCGAGGGTCCCATGTTTCCATTTTCTTTTTTTTTTTTTTTTTTTTTAATTTTTATTTTTTTTTTATTTTTTTGACAGAGTGGACAGTGAGAGAGAGAGACAGAGAGAAAGGTCTTCCTTTGCCGTTGGTTCACCCTCCAATGGCCGCCACGGCCGGCGCGCTGCGGCCGGCACACCGCGCTGATCCGATGGCAGGAGCCAGGAGCCAGGTGCTTTTCCTGGTCTCCGATGGGGTGCAGGGCCCAAGCACCTGGGCCATCCTCCACTGCACTCCCTGGCCACAGCAGAGGGCTGGCCTGGAAGAGGGGCAACCGGGACAGAATCCGGCGCTCCGACCGGGACTAGAACCCGGTGTGCCGGCGCCGCTAGGCGGAGGATTAGCCTAGTGAGCCTCGGCGCCGGCCTCCATTTTCTTAATCTAATTTATGAGATGAATTCTGTACATACGTAAGCATGTATATATTTTCCTTATAGCACATAGTCACGCATCACACATATATACCAGTTAGCTTTTTTGGCTTACCAAAATACCGTGAGCATTAGTCCACATTCAGTACATGCATGTGGGGTTTTTTTGTTGTTGTTGGTTTTTTTTTTTTGGACAGGCAGAGTTAGACAGAGACAGAGAGAAAGGTCTTCCTTTTCCATTGGTTCACCCCCCAAATGGCTGCCACAGCTGGTGCACTGCCCCGATCTGAGGCCAGGAGCCAGGTGCTTCTTCCTGGTCTCCCATGTGGGTGCAGGGCCCAAGCACTTATGCCATCCTCCACTGCACTCCCGGGCCACGGCAGAGAGCTGGACTGGAAGAGGAGCAACCAGGACTAGAACCCGGAGTGACGGCACCGCAGGCGAAGGATAAGGCTAGTGAGCCGCGGCGCCAGCCCGTGTGTATCTTGTTGTTTGTGGCTACATAATAAGAGTAGGGGATGCTAAGCAGTGCTTTACCTTTAATAATTGTGTATCCCTTACGACAGCTCTTTACAATTGTTCCTGTGGCTTCACCATTTTGTAGATTAGGAGACTGAAGGCTGGGGAAGTGAAGTGACTTGCCCTTAGTCACGTGGTTGATCAGAGGGAGAACTTGAATTTGATTTTAAAGCCCTTGCCTGTAGGACAGATCTCTGGTCTTGCACCTGCAAACGGTGCTGGAATGAGCACCCTCCTAGATCTGTAGAATACATTCCTAGGATTCTGCGGCACTGCTGGTTTGGAGGTGTGTGCACTTAAACTGTTTGTTCACTTTGCCCTTGAAAGACACTCTGCACTTTACACAGAGAAGCTGCCCAGCTGCCCATCTCAGATTGCTTGCTGTGGGGTGTGGGGGGTAATCCTTAGCCGGGGTTAAGAAGAGCTGTGCAGTGAGTTGAATGGTAAATGAATATGTGAATCAAGGTCTTTTTTTATATTGAGACTATTTTATTTGAGGATTATGTGTTAAAACAGATTAGATCTGTTTTCATAGATCAGTTGTATTCAGTTACTCTGGAATAGATGTTGTTACTTAAAACTGTATTGAGTCATGGTAGAGTGAACATGATTTAAGTAGGACCCAATAGTTGAGATTTTTGTGCAGACAGTTTTATTAATAAGTGAACTCAATTAGTATAAGATATAATTGTATATTAGTGACCAGGGTTGAACATTTCTTATAGAACTGAGTAAATTTTTATGAGTTTTGGAGAATTCAATTCAGAGTCCAGTGCAAATA